TCATGTCTAGTGACACTGGGTAGCCACATAGTGTGAGAATAGTCTTTGACTGTACATTGAGGGTTGAGAGATCATGGTTACATACAAAACCAGATCATCTCAAGGGGTGATCATTGCTCTGTGTATGTTCTGCTGGCTTGAGGTGCACAACCTCTCACAAAGCTTGGCTGGAGCTGGCAGTGTGGTAAAGATGCTACTGGACAGATGATGCATTGGGTGCCTCTTTTGTTCCACCTCATGGAGGGTGTTCATGGTTATATTAAGTGACTCTGTTGGTGACATTTGATTTGGAAGTCTCCAAGCATTGATGTATAACAGATGCCACCTCCTCCTTCTGTGCACAGCAATGTCACACACTGCTTTCCTCTCTCTCCCCGCCCCCCCCTCCCCGTTCTTGCAGGCTTGCTGGATGCTCTTGCTGTTGGTACCTGACTGTCTCATGTAATTGTTTGACATTTTTAGAGTGGTTTTATTGGTGCTGAAGTGGGCTGGTTGATATCCTCAGAGACCAGGTATCCTCAGAGCGGGTACGAGGTGCGTGGTGGTAAGACTGCCTTCCCCAGCAGCGTCAGCTGAAGAACTCTGGAACCAGTAGGTGTTCAGGCTACTTTCAGGGAAGGGCGATGTATCTCTACCACAGCTATTCTTGTAGTTACCTCCTAAAGGTAACTTTATTTTAGTTAATTGTCCAACAGCTTTGTGTTGCTGCTTCTCTTCGCTGCTGTTTTATTATTCTCAGCAGCCCTGAGCCAAAGTTGAACTAGCTATTTAGAAAGAAAAGGTTTTACGACTAAGAGTCATCTCTGGGGCCTCTTCATCAGTGTTAATACAGTTACACCCAGGGGGAGTTTCTTCCTGTACGTCTTTGGCCATCCTTTGAGGTATCCAATCCTATTAAGCCTTCCCTTAGAACCTAATTTATATGCAAATCAAAACCTGGTTTCTGATTTGCAATGGTTTTATCATCTGCTCCCTCTCTTACATAGCTACTTGATGCTGTTCCAAGTTGGAAATGAAAACTGCTCCCTTATGATATAATCTGCCTGTTGAAATGGAAGCTGAAAAGATTGATACTTGAGAGGGGAAAGACAATAAAAAAATAAGTTTGCCTTCCTCCACTGAACTTATTCCGTGGTGCCTCACAAAACTTCTGTCATTGTGAGGCAGTGGCATGGAGGCCTGAAGAAGGGCCTCTGTTCCTAGTGATTCTCCAAATGAATTGCTATTATATAGATTTGTCACCAGCACCTTTCTTTGCCCCTTTCAGTGTTCTTTGGGATGTCCCTTGGGCAGATCTTGCCTTTGCAGTGGGTAGAATGTAGCAGGACACAAGCTGCACGATCAGATTGCCAAAGCATGTCAAAAAAGATGGTTGCTAGGAAAACAAGCATTGCTAGCTAAAGAAAGTATCAAGTTATGAAGAAAATAATAATAAAAGACTGGCTAGAAAGCAAACATTTAGAAGGTTCATCAAGCAGTTTGTTTGGTAAAAGTATTGTTATATTTGGAAAGCAGTGCTGGCAATGGTGCTAGAGAGCAAGGAGATCTTGGTTTGTGGTATGTTTTGTGTTTTCCTCAGGGCAGGGCTGTGTTTGATCCTGTCTTTGGGACATGCCTACCACTTCAGGTGCTGCTGTGCTCTGCTGCCTGGCCTTCAGCCTGCTGGCAACATTTTCCTCTGGTTCACGGGGCTGAATGGAAGAAACTAAAATACTTCGCTCTTTCATTTTATAGCAGTCCCTCCTCTCTTCCACTACACCTTCTTCACAATGCTGTTAGTCTCAGGCTTGGGACATAAATCAAAGGGCAAAGACAGACACTGTGCAAGCTGCTTCCTGCCGCTCTGAAATCTTTTTCGCCCCTAAACCGTATGCCCATAGTATGCCAATCCTTAACTTTTCTCAGCTAGAGCCCTATAAGGGAACGGAGGGCCAAGTCAAGTGAAAATCTATGCTGGACATACTTCTCCAGGTGGTTTTGCAAATCTGTCTCAAATATGATTAATTAGCAATACCTATATGCATCTTAGAGCAGCCAGACATCATGATGCCACGTTCAGGTCCTGTGGGATGGACGGATGCTCACAGAAGAGAGGGGGCATAATCACCACTTGTATTTTATCACCCCTGGAAAGTGTCTTGGCGACGATGCAGTAGCATTTTACTTCCACTTCCTTTGTGTTCTTCAAAAGTCTGATGCAAGGTGAGGGACAGGTGGGCATTAGCTTGAAATCTATAGCATCTGGTTGGATGTTTCCCTGGGCTTGTAGCCCATTTAGAAGACGGTTGTTGCTCAAGTGGCAGGCTGAGATCGAGAGCATTGGGTGTTGTATAAGCACACAGTTCAGCACGATCTTTGCTCCAAAGATGCTCACCAGAATGTGAGAAGTGGACATCTACTAACTGGGCGCTGTGAGCTGTCGTTCTGCCAGATTCCTCCTTCTTTTTCAGTGCTTTCTGAAGCTCCCCTGGAAGCTTTTCTACATTGCCACGCTCTTTCCATTAAAAATGAGTTTATCACGTTAATTACATTGAAGTCCACGTGCCTTTGACTGGCACCCAGCTCAGCCCTCCGATTGCCTGTACAGCTTGAGCTGGATGTCACACGTAATTGAAATTCTGCTGAAGGTTGAAGCTGGATTATATAGCTGTTTGTGTTTCCTTTCCTTTTCTTGGCTGATCTCCAGGTATTAATCAAAGCACAGTTTTCTCCTGCGAAGCTCACAACGTAAAGGGATTGTCTTCATCTCGGACAGCCACTGTTCAAATCAAAGGTGAGAGAGTGCAAGAGAATGCCTGAGGGACGCGGGTTTGCTCTCTGGGGAGGGAAAGTAGGGCTCCTTAAGGCAAGGGGTTGTCTCAAAGCTGCCGGCAACCAGCACCGGTTGGAGCACTCAGCAGTCGAAACAACACTTTGTGCTCCAGCAGCAGTTCCCGCTTGCTATGCAGGCCCCTCTCCCAGGCTGCTGAAAATAAACCGCATCCGATTCAGGAGTGGAATTTTGATGTCAAATAAGAGTTTTTCCTTGAAAAGGAGGGAGTCAGAGCAGTCAAATTGTTTGTGAGAGATGTAGCCGGATATAAATCCGTAGCTGGGGAAATCTTTCCTTCTTGGAGATAGATGTGTCTTTTTATTGCTAAAGAGGCTCTTACTTGTCTTTGCTTCTATTGGCATCACATTAGATACTGAAAAAAGACAAGGAAGGCGATCACCAGTCTTCCAGTCACCAGTGGCCAGTAAAGTCTGTTCATCCACACTGTTTTTGTGGATATTTTTTTAATTCTTTGCTCTTTGTAAACTCATTCAAAACAAGTAATTCCTGGCCTTTGCATTTGTAAGTCCCTAAGTTGATGTCATGTTTCTTCTGTTCGTCCAGGTGACTGAAACGGGGATAATCAGAGCAATCAGCTCTTCCCCTCCTCTTCATGTTGAGATGGTTCTGGATTTGAATTTTTAGTCATGCTTTAATGCGCACTAAATGACATGATTATCAGTTCCAGGAGAGGCATGTCACAAAAGTCGTTTGTTCCAAGTGGTAGCTTATTGCTCAGTGCGAATAAGAGCAAGCATTTATGTCTGTATCAGAACTCACAGTTGTATTAGCTAATATTCATTAAAAGATAGCTTAAAATCCAGCTGTGGATCTACCGCTCTTACAGTGTATTTTTCTTCAGGACATTGTGGTTACTGCTATGCCAAGAATGCACTACGCTGGACTAATAAGATTTATAACTTAATTTAAAAATGTTTGGAGTTGTTGCCTTAAAGGCTTGTCTACACAGGGGAATTAGTTATTGTGGAATATATCTTCTATGAATATTTTTATCCTGGGATAGAATTTAGTTCACAAAGCTATTATGCTTTGAAAAAATCTCATCAAGCCATAATTTGAAATAACATTTAGCATGAACAAGCTTTTTTCTATTTTTTTTAATGTTAACACAGATTTATTTTTTTTTAAACCATTAATAACATGATGGGGTAAAAGCCTCAGAATTCTCATCTTTCCCAGCAATTACGTTTAGCCAAAAGTGCTCCACAGGGGTTAATCACCAGCTAATGAATCCACACAACCTATTTGGGAAGGACGTATCACCATCACACGCTTCTGACATGCGCGTGCACGCACACTTTTTAGAGCTGAGGAACCGCAAGCTTAAGTGATTCAGCAAATGTTGCACTAGTATGTGACATGTCCTAGAGATTAAAAAACCACGTTTTAAATAGCAAGTCCGGTGCTGTAGTCGTATAACTTCTAGCTGTAATACCTCAAAGGCATGTCTAAAAGAGTAGTTGTAAACTTAAGGAAGCGATGAGACTCTTCTAAAGAGCAAAAGTTTGAAGGTCTAGTACAGCCCCTGTTAAAATTAAAGCAAAACTCCTGACAAGGTCATGAGCAGGAGCAGGCCCAGATAATGTTTTCTTCGTCCTTGATCCTATGAACATGCAGACTTCAGTGAAATTGCTCCTGGGAGTAGTTGTCCGTACATGCATGATCAGGACCTTCCTCTCTTACACAGATCCATCTGCTAACGAGGACTCCCAGGTCTTTCTACAATTTATTAAACAATTTGTTTCTTCTGTGTTTTACAGAGGCAAATATTTTTGCTAGGACATTTACAAACTGTTAACATTTCTTCCTATTTGCTGCTGTTATTGTTCATTATCTATACTCTGTAGTGCCCACAATGTGCTGGGTGTACTCCAAGCAGAAAATTACTGTTTTTGTAGCCCGCAGTCCCCAGCCGTGTACAAAGCCCCATTGTTCCAGTCACTCTACAGGCACAGAGGAAGTTAACTCTCATTATGTTAACACTCAAGGTCCTGTTTTCAGGCTGGCTTTTTTCTCCTTCCTGTGTGCGGCTCAGACTTTTAGGGTCGTATCCCGTGTTTCAGAGCACAACAGGAAACAGCCACCCAGAGTTTTTTCCCAACAGATGATGGGGAAATGCATCTGTCCCTCTACAAATTGCAGAGTTAGGGGAAGGTGCTTGCAAGCTGACCCTCTTCAGTGGCTGTCTCCTTTACAGAGTGGGTGTGTTGTTTGTTGATCTTTTTTTTTTTTTATTCTCACTGGTGGTATAGCCCATACCTCCTTTGGGCCTGCCATCCAGTGTTGAAAATAACACGTTGCTAAACCCAAAAGTTAGGAGAGTGTTTAACAAAAGACGTAAGGGCAATGTTGCCATGATATCCAAGTAAGCAGTGAAAGCAAGCTTTTTTTTTCCCCCCCAAAGAGCTTACAAGCCTGAATGCCCAGCATCAAAATGAAAGAAACAGAGACACACAGAAAAGTCTAAGTTGACTCACAAACCCTTTTCACTGAAAGGCAAAGAACTCATTGCCCATTTTCCACCCCAGACCCACCTCCCGCCCAAGCCCACTGCTCTTATCTAGGTGGCAGCCCCCTCCCCTGGGTCCTGGTAACTGGTTAACCAGACAACAAAGGCTTTATAGGGTTAATCTGTGGCACCGTCTATTCCCTGCCCCATCCTCTCCTCCAGCCCCCCTGTAGAGACCCAGGAGGGGGCTTTGGCCTACGCATTTCTCCTGCAAGATGGCCCTGCGGAGATGCTGAAGGGAGTATTGTGGTTGTCCGTGGTGCAGTGAGAGACCAGGATGCAGAGTAGAAGGTGCAGCTGGAAGAATCCTGGTTTCCAGTTACTTTTCCACTGCTGCTTTTCACTGGATACAGCTCAGGAGAGGTGGAAAACTCAGTCTGCAGGCAGAGCATTGTCCTGAGGACCGTTGGGACTTTGAAAGAGGACTCCTGAGGGTACAGTTTGTTGAGATGCTGCAGGAAAAGTATTACTCATGGTAGCAGTGTAGGATTTTTCTAAAACAAGCCAAAGGTCAGGGGAGAGGTTAGTGTTCATGAAGCTGGCAATTGTTTCAGGAGTGAGGTGCCTAAATAAAACAGACTCAGGCGTGAAAGAGAGATGGTGAGGGGTGTATCGGGAAGAATAGGAAGTAACTATGTGGAGTTACAGTGGGAGGAAAAGAGAAGGCAAAGGGGAGCACTGAGGATCCTAAAAGGAAGCCAAGGAGCTCAGGTTAATGCGACAACGTACTAGAGGCCCTTGCAGCGATGGAGGTGTCTGGTCAGAGCGAGAGCAGAGGGGCAGCACGCTGCCGCTGCTCCTCGCTGGTAGGAAGCACAAACATCTGCTTAAATGGCCAGTCTGAGGGTCCTGATTTTATTCCTGGCTCTGCCCTTAATTTGTAGTGTGGTATCAGCCATGTAACGGGCACTCCCTTTGCCTCGAACTGCCCCTCAATAAACCAGAGTTCTTTCTGAGTTTATTGATCCTAGGTCTGAAGGAGGCACAGTTCTCAGTCCAGGCCCCCTCGAGGGCGTTTCAGGAAGGGTTTGTGATGGACACCCATAGGCAGCGCTTTCACAGCCCAAACTGCTCCACTGCAAACCCAGCTGCAGGGTGGTCGGGTCCCTACAGCAAACCACCCTTCGACTGGCGCTGGCAGAGCTGCTTTCGGGGGCTGGACTGAGAACCAGGGGAGGGATTTTCAAGCCCTGATTTGGTTGACAATGTAGGTCCACAGGCAATTGTGTGTGCAGGACTGGGTCATGCTTTGCAATGGAGGGGGCAGGGAAGAGGGCTGAGTAGCGAAGGTGTAGACACCACACACTGGCATTGCTATCAAAGAGATCAACCGCTGCCTGCATGCATCAAGCTAGTGTGCTGGACTGTGAAAGAATGGATGCCAATAGCTTCTTCATTGTAAAATAATAGTTTCATTCACAACAGTCAGAGACACTCTCTAAAGATGTGATATTGTACCATTTCTGTTAGTGATTTCATTGCATAATTTCTAGCCTCAAGCCTCCGCCGTTTCCATGTGAATACCTGCGCAGTTCTGTGTGTACTGAAAGGTCTCTTTGTTTCCTTTATAGCCATGCCTCTCTCGCCTCTCAATGTAACCGTAAGCCAAGTCACCAGCAGCAACGCCAGCGTGGTCTGGGTGCCAGGATTTGATGGCCGTGCACCCCTCCATTCTTGCACTCTTCAGGTATGGCCCCTCTGGATTGTCCCCTGCCCTGCATGAAGGATGGGACTCCCCGTGAGCCGCGACATTGCTTAGGCCATCTTTTGCTCTTTAACTGCTTTGTAGCAATGTTTGAATTTTTATTCCACAGTTTTAAAATGTAGAAACTTAACAGGATGCAACACAGGGCATATATAGGTGCCAAAGAGCAGGGCATGAAGTTTTGAGCACAGAGTGTCCAGTTGAGAATTTGAGACTGGCCCCGTTCTCCCTCCCAGCAGGTTATCACATCAGTTGCTCCGTGGCAGCTACTCCATGCAGAGTGTTGCACTGCAGCACATAGGAAGCACATATCACTCTATGGGAAGTGCCCTCGAGTAGCCGAAGGGTGCTCACGCGTCCTGCTAGCACGGAGCAGCTGGCCCGAGGTAACTTGTTCCAGTGCAGTGCAGTGGCCTGTGGCTCCCATACCAGCTCAGCCCTGTGCTTTGCAGTGCCGGAGGAAATGCTGAGGTCTGGACATACCAGTGAGCCCAAGGGATGAGCTTACAAAGTGTAGGATGTGGTACAGGAGAAGTGGGAATGATGGAGGCAGGAGACAGATTGGGCTTTTTGATACGAAGTCAGGTCTGTTTGCATATTTCAGAGTAATTTGAAACCCTGCTTCTAAAATCTTCATTGGTTTTCCATTGTCAAAGACCAATTCTGCCCAGGACATCAAGGGTGATAATATCCTTTAGCGCTACCGGCTGCTGATTACTCAACATCTCTGAAAAACTGGACTGCTTCTTTAGGTTCCTGGGAACAATGGTAGGTGTCCAACTTCAGGCAGAGTTAGTTTCTAGCATTGCACTCTTACCTGTAAAATCAGATCAAACAGCTGGTAACCAAGCGTCAAAAAGAAATGATGGTTCCTGAAGCAGGCTGCGTGAACACAGGCAGGCACATTCCCCATGGATTTGTCTGCCAGGTGTGAATATTGGGCCCCTATGCTTTCC